AATTTAAGTATAAAGAACTTTAATAAAAGCTGTCAGAGAAAATAAGAGGACTTAAGGGAGAGCTGTTCCTTAACAGTGAGCAAGTTCGTTGTGTACAGCTCCATGGAACACTGTTTCAGCAACGCGTGATTTTTCAACATATGCAGAGAAGCACAATCCAACGGGGTCTGAAAAATAACTAGTTATAACCACTAAGTACATGGGGTTTTTGAGAAATAACTCATTATGCACAGGTGAAAAATTATTACTACACAGTGAACCATACAATGGAAAGAAATATGGCAATCACAGAAATGCTGGAGGCGGCAATTCCTCTCCTACATATCCTGACAGAGAGAAGAAAGGGAATTAAATCAGGTAAGCAAAGCACATAACGACAGTAAAAAAAGATCAGCTAAGCAGGCAACAAACTCAAAGACTGAGGACTAAATTAAGTTACTTAAAGATAACTTCAACAACACAGGGCTGGTCTGTACAGGATACTTGTAGAAATGGTCTTCCTCGTATAACAAAAAAAGAACCTAAATTCACATTTCTAAGATCCTCAGAAACATCAGGTTCAAGGATCTTTTCTCCTTTTTCCTAACATAAAAGCTTATATTAAATGGAGGACAGCATTATCACCAATAACTTCTTCAGAACCTATACCAAAAAAGGACATTACCAAGTTAAAAAAAAAAAAAATCAACTTTTTGATACCTTCTAAATATACGTTGCTTTCAAATGGTTTTCCCAACTTGTATTGGAGAGATGAACTTTCAGATAAGGGATCTAAAAATGCAGCCTTCCATCTAAATTAAACATAGCCAGGGAGAAAAAGCCAGCAGGCTGAAGACAGGAAAGAGACTGGTGATCACACTGACTGGGAACTCTTTCAATATTCTAAAAAATGGTAAATAATAGGTGACAGGTAAATGACCTCATGGAAAGCGGCTTCAATAAACCTCTTCTGTTCTTTATAAAATACATGTTTACCTCTCCAGTCTGATATAAAAAGCATGCCTTTACTCCAAAGCTGAATTTTATGAGTTCCCTCATGCATAAGGCAATAGAAATAGGATATGCAGAGACTATATTTTGTTACTTTTTTTTTAAAGAGTGAATGAAAGCCTTGCACTCAATTCAATTGCATTTCTCTGTGATAAGAGTGTGAACACCGCACCTGACTGATTCCTAAATGTAATGAAACACTCAAAGTGGCAATGGGCAGAACTCTGTTGCTTTTGTTAAATATCAGAAAAAGAAACATATGCCAAGCTTCCAGCATCCATTTAGGATTGTCAGCATTTTCAACCACCTCTGTAAGTTCTCTCCGCATTCAAAGAGCCAATTGACAGTACACAGTAACACCCTCCAGCGCAATTATAATCCCTCTCAACTTTGTCCACCTACTAGTTTAAAATTATAGTTCCCTTAATAACTTCTCCATCAGGTAGAACATAAAGAACAGTGCTCGAGCTGAAGCAGCCTTAAGGGCCTCTGGTGGAGCAGGCTAGAGAAAATGATGGATCTTGAAGTAAGGCACAGCGCAGCTGCCCAATACAAGCAATGCAAACCCCAATAGTGTGGGTATATAAGGATTGTTTCCTTATATCAGCACTACAGAGGAAAAGAAATAGCAAGAAAAGAAATGCCTTTTCTGGCTAAACAAGCCCTTAATATACCACTGCATTACGTGAGAATCAGATCAGAAGACTTGCGAGTTAATGCAAGAACAGCCAGATGATTTTACATTTCAGACAAAAACTCAGCTCCCAAATATTTCACTTTGTTCCGTTAAATAGCGGCACTAGAACCGTAAGAACTTGTTTACAGGTTGTGTTTCTTCAGATGGCAGATCAAGCAATGCCATACTGTTGTAGCAAAACAGCACAATGTTCTTTTGCTCTCCTCTCTTGAAAACATCGGAATTTTAACATGAAACAAAACAGTTTGTGACTGCATTTCTTGGTATTCTGTAAATTTTGCCTTCTCTACAAGAGTTACACCTGAAAATTGCTTAGCACGTAAAAGGCAATGAATTCCTTGGGGCCTAATTCTGTGCTCCTTATTGTGTACAAATTCCTTTGAAGTCAACATTAGTGATGTCATTTCAATTTTCTTCACATCTGCCATTCTTATCTTAGAAGAAAACAACCCAATCCTTCAATCCTATTAAAAATTCCTTGTAGACTGCCTTTTGTGGTGTTGGTAAGTTTTGAAAATCTTTCTGAGAAAATTAATATTCAGTATATTCAGTGTACATATTAATAGAGCAACAGAGGAAATCAGCAAACTGTAACAAAACAGCAAACTATAACAAAACTGCTCATACTGGATAAAGCCAAAGCCTTTCAAGAACAATGCATTAACATCTTCCTGACAAGTGAAGACAGCAGCAAAAGTTATCAAATCCCATCTCTTTCCATTCCATCAACAGGAAATCCAACAACAGCAAAATTGGTGGCTACAGGCACTGCAGCAGTACAATCAGCTCTGTCCAGCCTGTAGTATTTAGTGAAATTAATCTGTGAATACCACACTTTGTAAAGACTTCCATGTCAGGAATTTCTATCCCTTGCTCTAAGACTGTAACAGAAAATAAATGTTTCTCCTGTATTCATGATGACTGGTCCATATAAAGAACGTCCTTTCACAAGAAAAGCACTGAACCTTTGACTTTCAAGATTTGATAACTTCATTCTATTTTTATTTTAAAAACACATTGTCAAGCATCCTTTCTTGTTTGCAGAAGCTGAAGTTAAGCACAACTGCAATGTAGCACACAGTATCTAAATCACTAGATTTTTGGGCAGGACTCTGCAGGTGTGATTGGTCTCTCCTTTCATCATCTTTTACTGCAGAACGCCTCTCTCAAGAAGGTCCCAAAGTTGCCTCCATTGGTTATTTTACTCTGGAATATTTTGGTCTCCTGTAGGCTGAAGTTTTTGGTTTCACCCATAACTTTTCACTTTCTGTCATTACATATTCAGAAGATGGCAGCCCATATCAAAATGTGCAGATAAACCTGAGTGACGGAGATATTACCAGTCTGAAGGATCATAAAGAAGATAAATCTGATGAGATCTTGGAACAATGATGACCATGGTAACAAAACCCAATGCTTAGTTTTCAAAGCGCACGTCAGAAGTACAAGGACAGTACACCATAAGAATGATTACGAGGATGCTTTTAATTATTTAGTGGATCAATGGAATGTGTCAATCATTTCAACATAAACACTATAAACCACTATTCTTTAATGCCCAGTAATGCAGCACGCTCAAATGCAATTGTATAAAATGAAGAAAGGTACCACTGACTGATAATATTCTGAAGTGTTAACAAGCAAACCAAGTTAAAACACATACAATTTACCTGATAAAGTTTGATTAGCAAGTAATTAATTTGCTTTTATATTTTACTTTTGATTATTTAAATGTTACCAGGTTCTTTTATAAACCAGTATTTCTGTGATTTGCAAAGCAAGCAAGCTACAGAGATTATTCAAAATAAATCTGGCATCATAAATCAGAAAATATTCACGGCCTTTCATGGAGTCATTTATTTCTCCAAATAGTTAGAGGGATCCAGAATACTAATAGTTATTGGATAGACCAATCCATTTATGAGTTCAATCATGAAGAGGAGAATTTAAGTGCTGTAAGATTTGTGAAAAAAAAACAAAAAACTGCCATGGCTTCAGTCAGCATTTCTTCATTTTCTCAGACATCCAGACATGAAGAAGCCCTCCAATTCTATGAGTTTTGCTTCGTGTCAGCATTTTTCAGTCTGCACTGCCAAATGACCATAACCGTAGCACTGTATGTTTCTGTCTCAAATATATTTTCAAAATACTGGTTGACATAAGAAGATTTTGATTACTGAAAAATGTACCACCTTAATAAAGTTACAGAGATTTAGCAAGCCATCATGCTAAACCTATTCAGCTGCTTCAGGTCTGATGAGATCTTTGATATGAGTAAGTTGTGTGAACTTACTTTCCAGTATGCAAAACTGAAATGTGTTTAACTAAGTAGGCTGTGCATTACATAAAACATAAATGAAAAAAACTTCCTGTTACCACACAATTAGACTACAATAACGTCTGTCCTCTGGCATTTTAATGTCTGATACATTAACAAAAGCTAATTGGAAAGAGGCAAAATATGCAAACTACAATTAACTTACAATAGAAAACTTCTTTCAGAGCTAGAATTAGGGAACAAACATACTTGAATGCATCTCCTTTTGAGAGAAAAGGTATTACATAAATTCATTTCTGACCCACATTATCATCTTTCGTTTACACACTAAACTGAGTATGTTTGTCAGAGAACCAAAATGAAGTTCCAGAAGCATGGTCTTCTCTTCCAGCCACTGTCAAGTCCTTTTGTGGTGGTAGGTAACTCGACTCACCTTTTGTCTCTCCATATGGACAAATATACACATGAACAAACATATATTTAAATAATTCTCTCCTACATATTTTATATCTTCATAGAATCATAGGATAGTTGAGGATGCAAGAACCTCTGGAGATCATCTAGTCCAACTCAAAAGCAGGGTCAACTGAAGTGGACTGCGTCCCACTGGGTTCTGAGTATCTCTAAAAAAGGAGAGTCCACAACTTTTTTCTTGCTTTGCTTTTTAATAGAGCAGATTTTTATTTGAAAACAACTTTTAATGCAAATTTACTTACTTATCAACTATACAAGAGCAAGTAATTTTCCTCAGAAACCACACATGAAGTTATGCTGAATTCTGAATTATTCAAAATGACACAAGTAATGTTAAAGACTTCATGTTATATGCTGCATACAAAACATTTTAGAAATAAAGTTTTAAAAAACTACTGCTGTTATAAACTGTTCACATATGAAATTAAGCATATCTTTATGTTCATATCAATCCTTTTTATAAGCATCAATTTGGAGACTGTGTACAACTTCTTAGAAAGCAATTTATTTTCCAGATTGCTGTCTGGTGAAGTAGATTCCTCCCATTATCAGTCAACTTACTTAGTCTCTGAGCAGCCTCCAGGGCATCATTTGCAGAATCAGCTACAAAGAATCTCTGAACTGTAACCCCGTGGTCTGCCATCAGTTTTTTGCTTTGGTACTCCTGCAGGTTCAGCCATCGTCTAGGGGTTAATTGAACAGCCTAGGAAAACGAGAGGGGAAAATAACGTAATCCTCATTAAGAACAGTTCATGAGACAGCCAACTGAGCTATTCTGCCTCACTGTTCTCTCAAACCAGTAGTTAAACAACATTGTTTCAGAGAAAAGGTAAAATACATATTGATTTACCTAAGTGCTTTTTCTTAACATTTGTGCATCCAGACTACTCTGAAAGCTACAGACATTTTTTTTAAAAACTATGCTCACTGGGTTATCTTGGCTAGACAAAATGTCTTGCATGTAATATCAACACAGATTGGCAAACTTGGCTTGAACTCTACAGTCTATTTATGTTTTTATGTTATCTTGTGCTACAAAATATTAATAGACTTATGTTGCAACAAATCCATTGTCTCATATTAAATATCCTTACTTACACTAAATTTTAAATAATTCTTCCCTATAAAATTATTTTTACTTGATTCTATGCATTTATTGCAGCATACCTGAGAAGATAAACAACTGATATGGTATTAGCACCATCTTGTAAAAAACTATATACTAATATATATATATTTTTTCAATGGTCTGTTATTTATGCTTAGTTGGTTGTACTTTTAGGTGTGTTTTGTTGAGGACGCTAGCACAACCACTTCAGTCTTTCAAGGCCAACAATAGCGGGAGAAGAATTTACCTTCCATTCTCAACATGCCAGCTTAGATGTTTGTGTGTGCGCATATATATGTATATATATATAATGAATATAAAGATACGGCAACCTTACACATACACACAAAGACATCATATTTGCTTGTCTTGATGGTAAACATTGAGTATAGACACTATAAAAGTCACAATATCATTACTGAATGATTTTAAGAAAAGACACATTCTCCACACAGGATAAACTGTTCCAGACAAAAGCAGTAATTAAGGAGCTGTCACTGACTCCTGGCAATGGTGTAATGGCAAAGGGGGCACTGACTCCTGGCAATGCTATAATCCCATTTTGTGCCAGCAAAAAGATGTTCCTCCCACATGGAGAGACAAACTGTTGTTCTACTGGCAGACAGCCCACAATCAATTCTTGGTTTCTCCTGAAGTTAGGAGCACAGTATACAAGCCAACACTATATATTTAGATATGTTAGACAAAGAGGATTATTTAGTATACTAACACTTTGATCTCTACCAGCATGATAAAAAAGTATTATCCTAATGCAACTTTATACTGAAAACAAAAAACCCTCCATGCTAAAGTCTTTCAATAATATATACCCCTTTCATTATACTAGAATTTTAAACGCTATGTTGCATCAAAAGCAAACCTCCGTCTGTTCCTGCTTGCTTTGAAACATAGCACTAAAGATTGATGCATAAAGAAAATACAAAACCCATCTTTTACAGTATATAAGCACATGTTTTCTGTAAAAGTGACTCCCACAGAACTTAAACAGTTACAAATAGCTCAGAATGACCCATTTTAAATTCTTTTAACCAAAACCCATTTAACATATTTTAGAAGAATAAAACGACATACTGTCAGTATGCTCTCTGGCTATCTCTAATTCTAAGCATCACACATGAACCTCAGCATGCTTTCTATTTCTCCATGTTATCCACATATAGTATTTTATGACACCTATGCAATGTCTTCAAATGTAGGGTCAAAATTTAAAGTCACTTTCATAATTGTTGATATTTAATTTGCTTTCCTATTCTAAATTCTCCTTTAGGCTCTAACAGGTATTAGTTCATGATCATTTCCTCAAAGGGATTAACATTAGGAGCCAAGAGGGACCCTGAAGGTCAATTCTAGCCTCATATAAAAAAAGGCCAGAGAATTTCAACCAAAAGCTGATGCCACAAGCCCACAGTTTCTATCAAGCTACAGAAGAACTTTTAGCATAACTACAAAAGATACAAGTTTTATCCCTGACAATCATTAATCTTCTCTTTTGCATTGTTTCTCTAAAGACTACCCCATAATAACAATATTATTACAATGAGAACTTCAGAATACATCATTATTGATCCATGCATATAATCCATACATATACACACACATGCACACTGATGAGCAGCATCACCACAATTTGCACAGGCAGCCAGGAGACTACTAATGCGTTATTTGACCACTACTGTAAGACTAAACTACGTTTCCAAAGGCCCTCTCTTTCAGCTGTAAGCAGCAGTGAAAGGAAGAACATCCCAATAGTGACCAGAAGACGACCACATTTGCAGAGGGAAGGAGGGGAGGAAGGAAGAAAACCCAATACACATCTGCATCTGACTAACTGGCTTTCAGCCATTCTGCTCTAGTTAAAAGTTGTATCTGATGCCTGTACTCACTCCTCCAGGCCCGGAGCTACAGCAGTAGATCATCTACAAAGATAATTCTCAATCCATTGCTCTTGAGCAAGAAGGAATTTACCAATCTGACTTCCAGGGTTCAGAAAAATAAGCTCACACCTTTAGCTAAAGTGGATTGACTTATATCAGAATAAACAAAACCATCACTTCTAATTTAAATCTGACAAGAAGAAACCTTGATTTAAACAATCAATTATGCTCAAATTCTATACCTGTACTTTCCAGAAGAAAGGTTAATTCTCCTTAGCTGGAAATTGATTTGAAATAAAGAATAAGTCTACACCAAGGCTGACAACACTTATTGCTCATCTGTTATATAAATCTTATAGATACAGTTCTTTGTTTGCATTATGTAATCTTGTATTGAATAGGAGCCAAAAGATCTTTGAGATACACGTCAAGCTGATCTTCATTAGAATTTAATAAACACGGATAAAAAAGTTGCTCTATTAAATAAAAAGCTGAGTCAAAAGTTTTATTAAGGATTACTCTTATATATAAAAGTATGTTTACTTACAATTTACTTTGATGCTTAAGTGTGTTTATTTACAACTAACTGGTTTTATATAAAGATTTCTAAAGGTCAGTAATATAGCTGATAAAATTTTGGTCACTGCGTTTATAATTTAAGAACAAGTCTTCAAAACAGCTTTTATTCATCATTTAGAAAAATAAATCAGTTTCACATGTATGTGGTTAATAAGCTGATCTAAACCAAATAAACAAAAAGGAAAATATTCAAACAATCTTACTCTTGGACAGACTTCTGTTGCTGTTTGAAACTCTTTCACTTGCTGTGTTGAAACTTGTTTTCCAATTTTCTGTTTGGCTAGGAATTAAGTAGTTAAGGAATTCACAGTGCAGCACACTGTGTCAACTGACATCTCTACTGTTAGTTCAAACCAGCAGGGCTTAAGTAATAAAATCTTTTACAGACTCTCTTAAACAATATGGACTGCAAAGGGCCACCACCTAATAAAGGCCATCAGTCATAACTCACAACACGTGACAGGTATGGAACAGAGACGACAGCAAGAAAAGCAGCCAAAGCTCAGTTTGTTTTATGAGAAAAGGTCATCTCCAGTGCCACCCATCACGTGTGCCTCACCCCAACGTTCACTCAGCTCCAGACTAGGGAGTGAATAAAGCAAGCCTAACAGTTCCAACGGGAACCTGCAATAAGCGCTGTTCCCAGCCTCCCTCTTGGCACATTACAAAAGCTGTTAGTATATATCAGTTTCACAACTTGAAAATATAACTCAAAACGTCCCACAGGGATACTCCAAATCATTGCCAAGATGTTTAAAATCATATTACATATACATCCAGTGCATCTATACATAAGTATACGGACATAGGTCTGTTCTCTAAAAAAATTAAACTATTTTTATATATCATATATATATATTATATATATATTAAGAGATTATGAGAATATTTCCTTCATAAATTATGAACCAGACAGGTCTGAGGAATACAGATAGAAAATAAGAGAATCATTAATTTGAAAGAACTGTCAAAGCAGTCCTAACGGTGACAAAACAAAGTTCTGGCCAAGAACCATTGGCACAGAAAAGCAAAGCCTACAAACTTAAGGTTAGTAAGCATGTACATTTTTTTTCACTCTCCTTCATTACATGATACTAAGAGAGACCATCTTACTGAGTGTCATCTGAAGACTTTCAATCAAGACTTTCCACAAAAGACAAACTCCTGGTTGTGAATGAACTACTCAATAAAAGGAATAAGTACAGCCTACCACTATATACAGGAGTACAATATATTGAAGAAACCAATTGTGACAAAGTCTGTATTAGAAGCTCTGAGAAGAAAGGAACATGAAAAACTTGCTTTAAAGCACTTGCAGTACACACACCATATGTCTTGAGAAGAGCAGGCAAAATAAAGCAGTCACAAGAGATGAAATAAAGCAAAAGCTTTGAATCTGTGAAGATGACTACTCTTTCAAGACCATCTTGAAAAATGAAAACAGTTGCGAACATATGCATTTTAGGCTTAAGGTACAAAAGAAAAGTGAGCATGAGATGTTAGACATGTGAGTCAAGAGATAATGTCCTGAACTAACTCACCACTCAAAGACGTTTTCGTTGCAGTAAATATGTAGCTGAACGATTTAAAAGCGACAGCAATAAAAAGAACCAATTAGTACAAGAACCTTGACAAATCCTTGACAGATGAAGTTCTCAGCCCTCACAAATACACTTGTACTAAGCATTCACAAGAATTTGAGATGGGCTTCAAATAGCACAAATTTCTTGAACATCATAAATTTCTACGCATCCTACAGACAAATATATTCCCAAGCCTGACTGGAACAGTGCTCCTGCACAAAGGTACAGCCTTAAGACAGCCTATACCAGAGCCTACAAAGTTTTGAAAGAAAGGTATTTCCCCCACCTAGTCTTCCACAGGGAGCCATAACCCATCACTTCCCCCTCAGAATTATTAGAAGGACACCAACACAGCACAGAATACAACTCCAGCGTCATGCACCTTTGTATTTTTTATTTTCCCATTCTGCAGCTCTACTCTTGTCAACAATTTAATTGCTCTCAGCAGCATCAAACAGCACTGCTAGATTCACAAACGCAGCCCTGCCTCTCATAAAATACAGACTGAGGAATTATGTTGTAAATTACTATCAGAAAA